TGGCCGAGCTGAGCCGAGCCGTGTTGTCATCGTCATTGGGTGGTGTTTTCCGGCTTGGTGGATGTGAGTTGTTGGGGTGTGTTGGTTGGGGTTAGGGTTGACTTTCCCTTGTTGATCTCGGATGTGTGTTGATGTCATGGAGGTTTGGGATTTTGTTGATCTCTCCACCTTCCACGGAACGCTGTTTTTTCGTGTTTTTTGCACCTATGCAATGCAAAAACGCATATAGTCGAGGAATTGTTTATTATATGTATGTATTGTGTGTGTTTGCTTATGCACTCGTATCGATTTTTCATCTCGAGGCCCAGGAAAGTTACAAGACTGAAGCTTTGGCAGTTTGGTTTACACCTATGTACGAGCTCCTTTCCTCAGTATGATCGCTCGACATCCATGTGATACGGACACGTGAAAGTTTTGGGAAGGAAATTGCTAACTTGAGAACCAGAAAAGTTAGAAAGCTAAAACTTTTTTTTCCAAGTAAAGTTATAGGATGGCATGATAGGATGGCATCGCTTGAAGCAAAGAGAGGGGCTGGTTTCGCTTCTCAATGTTGGCTTGGTGCAGGGAGGTCCTGGTCAGTGTCGTTTTTATGCGTTTTTGCTGTGCTGCGCTATAGCTTCCTGCATGCCAGAAGGGGCCAAAGCACGGCCAATATGAGTCGAAGTGTTAGGATGGAGGGTAGGGGTTATTCTTACTAATTGCGATCTGGGAGTTTAGTGCAAAAACGCATGATCGCATCGGCTAGACTGGTGCCCGTTGCTATTTATTTTGATATGGTCGCTGGTGCACTTCAGGGTTCGCGTCCTATCTAATTTGTTAGTTTCAGATCCTTGTGCTTGGGATTCCGCTGCTGCTGCTGCTGCTGCCGTCGTGATGTTGCGCTGTGACGCTGTTGCTGCACTGCCAGGGGAGGCAGTGAGTGTGGCCGATTCGCCCTCAGATACCTCGATGTTGGATGAAACAGTGCCGCCAGGCGATGCTGCACAGCTGGATGACGATTCGCTGGACGCAACTCTGCCGCCGCCGAGCCCGCTGGTTGCCGCTGCAGTGGAGCAGGATTCCATGGAAAGCTCAGATTCAGTGGTGCTACTCAATCAGACCATATCTCCCGCGGCACGCTCCGACACCGGGAAGTCCGCTTTTTCAGATGATCTATTTGATAGCGGGGAAAATTCAGCGCCCGTCGATGGAGCAACTTTTCTGGATGTCACTGCGCCGCCTGTGGACGAGGGCAGTCGCGAAACGTCACCAGAGATTGTAGTTGTTTTGGAGCGTGTCCAGCCGGAGGGCCAGGATCGAGGCACGGAAAATCGAACCCCCGAAGAACTGCGACGTACCGATGTTGGTTGGGTGAAAACTTCAAAAAACTCGCATCCAAATGACGCAAAAGCTCGGAAGAAAGCCCCGCTCCATTCAAGGTCACCGCTTGCCCCAACTCAGCCCCCGGCCGCACCCCGATGGCTCTCCAAAACGAAATCATCGTGCCACAGTGGGACACTGGATAGCTGGCTGCAACCAAATAAACCGCCGACATCCGATCCCCACATTGGTCCTCG